ATGTGACATATCCGTGATATATCCTTATGAAATATCGGAAATATCCCTTAACTTTTAAGCCTACCGAGCGTCAACGACTTCATGCGAAGGCGACCGGAGATTTCGCCTAAGCCCCGCCTTAATACGATACAACTCCGACTTACGTCGCGTCGCTACCGCACGATGAGTTAGATAGTGACAGAAGACTGCCGTACATCGTGCATCAACCCTGATAGTAGGCGATGCAGAAATCGCCGAACAAAGGCACCCCAACGGTCAAAATTATTTTGTTTCCTAACGCAGTGGCACAGTCAGCGTACGCCAGCGATAGTGAATATTTTAAAATACAAGATCATAAATATTAAAATAATATTGATTATTAAAACACGCTTCCGTGTATTAACAGTATGTTTATGTATTGGCAACATTAATAGTAAATAATGTAATGTAATAAACCGCTTAAATTCTGCCAAAATTTTAGGGTAGGCGCCGCCTACCTTGCCTACCCTGACCAGCCGCCACTGGTTAGAAGTCAGTTAATTTCGACGTTATTTGATGTTTAAATTTCTTTTATCTGACCAGGTTAGGCAACATTTATCTAACCAGGTTAAGTTCATACCGCCGTCAACGACAAATTAATTCAACTTTCCACCGGCATTTACAGATATAGACATATCATACCGCCGGATGACGGTATTTTTTCATACCCCTACAACATCTTACTTCGCGGCCATTATTTAGCTAATCGGCGATGTTTTTAGATCAATTGGGGGTTTCTTCTGGTCTCTAGGTTACATTCTCCAGTCCTAGTCTTCTCACAAAGCCTAATAACTTTTAGACTGAACCTTCCCTTCAATATAACTCCTTGTTAACGGAGTCATTGACAAAGTTTCATAAGAATCATTATCGTTGATCAAATTTGGACATGGCTTTGTCCGTAAATTCAATTTGTTTTAAATGCCTATTGATCTTACAAAATGTCCTGTTATTAAATCCGCCACAGTTTTGACATGTTTTCTATCTTTGCTTATCAGGTCTGTCATACATTTTAAGAGTATTACTGATTTTCACCTTTGCCGTGATGAGTTCCTCTGTCATTCTATACTATTCTGCCTTCAATCGCTGTATATCATATAAAATACTTTTAACTAATCAAATTTACATTGTTTATAAATAAATGCTGCCAAATATACAATAATGAAGATGTAATCTACATCAAATATTACGATTTGAGTAAATATTTGAATTTTTCATTCATTGTTAACATTGAAACAGAGACAAAAAGGTATAATTATTTTACCTATATTTCCTTTCGATGGGATCATTAATATACTCATGGAATACACCAGAAGTCACATTATTACATATTTGCTTTGGCCGTCTCTAAATCATCGCGCTAATTTTCCAAAGCAAACAAGCTATAGATAAGAGATGTCAACCGAACGTATTATACCGAGCTACAGGCAGTTATTCCCATGATTTAAATCGTTAGTTGCGATAAATCAAATACGTCTCCAGTCGCATCTGAGAGTGTGTTTGTGCTGTCCGTACGTGAATTAATTAGTTTCTCTATGATGTTCTTATCGATAGTGATAAATTTTGCTTATATTAACAGTTACACATACCCAAGTAGAAAAATACATTTTTAAGCAGTCAATCACATATATGTCTATCTTATATTATTAATATCATTATATTATGTACCTTTTTCCTACTGTTTTTTCGTTATAATCTTCCTTATGTTGTTTGATGCAATATCTCTAATCTTTGATTAAGAAGTGGATGGCCAACAAATCTCTATATAACCAAAGTTATTAGCAAAATTAAAATAAATTCGAAAAAATAAGCCCATTACCTTATTTTTCTAACACGGTATCACTAGCCCTCTTGATTATGACCATTCTAATAAAAAAATAAGATAAAAGAGATTATTTTACTCAAGAAATCGACAATGTACCAGAATACCATAATACTAGGTGTATTAATATCTATAATGATTAAGATATCAATGACAGTGGACAAGAAATGACACCTCAGTGAATTCATGGTAGGCTTTAGAAAAAAGGTGCTTTTAAATATAGTTTCAACATCAAAATATTAGGTATTACATCAATATTTTGATAGTCTCAGCAGCGTTATTTATCTTTTGATTGTTTTTCTAAAAATGCCTTCCTTCAAAAGAGAAAAAACGCTGCTAAGACTATCAAAATGTTGATATAATAAAACGTTGATTGACGTTCATACTATTACGTCAAAAGCTTACCATGACTTCACTGAGGCGTCGTTTCTTATTCACTGCCATTGAGATCTTAATTATTAGATATTAATACATTTGGCATTATGATATTCTGGTATATTGTCGATTTTAGAATAAACTAATCTTTTCTATCTTATTTTTTATTAGAATGGTCATAATCAAGAGGGCTACTTTAATCGTGTTATAAAAATAAGGTAAGTAAGGGCTTATTTTTTCGTCTTTATTATAATTCTGCTAATATCTTCGGTTTGAAAGAGGATATCAAGATGCGGTTTTCGCTGACTTTTTAAGATTTTTATTACTCTTTACTATCAGTTAAAATTGCATATACTATAGCATTTAATTTTTTTGAAAAAACGCGCAATGTTTGTTAAATTGTAAGACAGCGTCCCCTAGCGTCTACATTCCAAAGCTTACTATTATTATTATTTATACTGTATAATATAGGGTAAGAAAAGCTCTTTTAAACGAGCCCACGTTTGTACGATTCCGTTCATCCAGTCTGGAGTTATTAATATTTAAATAAAAACAGATATAATCTTCCCCCACCACTTAATTTTGGCCAGATACTGGAAAATAGTTCTAACAAGAAAAATTCAAAATTTACTGAAGATTATGAAGCTATTATTTACAGTACCCTTTATGTAGGCAAAATTGTGTAGAAACTCCTTTTCCTTATTTTTTATAGCAGTTGCGCCCTCTAGCAGCCGTTCTACAAACTTCAAAATAATTTCCAGCAATTTATCATAGCCTCTTTAGTTATAAATATTTTTTCCGCAGACTCTACGGCTAATACTTTCCGAGATACAGCCGAGAGCTATTCTTAGTGGGACACCCTGTACAATAGATCTGAAAAGGCCGCAGTGGAACAGGCTAATAGCCACCTCAAAAAATCTAATCTAATCTTAGATTAGGACATTTCTTTGGTCTTTTTGTGTCTCTCGATTAGTAATAATATAAGTAATTTTATTAGACAATTTTTTACAGATAGTCCTTCCTGCTAGATGATCTCAGTAGCTGAATTTTGTTACTTGGGTCTTCTGTATTATCCACTCTATCCTCTTATGCTCTATATTTGTTATTCCATCCACGGCTGTCACTGTCATGTGTAAACTTTACTTAATATTTTCTTATGAATTCTTATTATAACGTTCATATTTCACAGATTTTGTAATTATTGGTTTTTAAAAATACCAGAATAGTTCATTTCTGAGACAAACCAAAAAAATTCCACATATAAATAGGTACGTAAAGTACGTTCATACGCAAGCTTTACAGAAGATTTAGTGCCTTATACATATAGGAACAACGAATATAGTACGTGTAATGTAATTACACCTTTATTTAACGTTGCGGCAAATTTATTTGATGTGGGAGTGTCAAATACGTCAGAATAAAATATTTCGAGTATATTTTATCGACTCGATCCAAAGCTCAAACGCTTTGTCCGACCAAAAAATGGGCATATTTGTAATTTAAGTGTCATAAAGTGCATATAAAGGCGTAGACAGTCCATATAATAACAAAAATAAAATTGATACTATGCCAAAGAAAGGCTACCTTAATATTTTATTGCAGTTATTTTTAATATTGGTGAAATCAACACCTTATTTCTCACTTATGAATGGGTTGGGAAAATGGGTTGAAAAATTTTTCAGTTACTTTTTTAAATTTTATTCTGAATTTTACTCTAAGTTGTTTTTTAACACTATGTTATTGCTGTAGTTTTTTTTAATCGTATGGTATAAATCGTCACCAAGAAAAGTATATTACCGATTATAATTTTTTTATTGCTTTCAAAGTGCACATTCATATAGAGCAGTAAATTTGAACCTTGTCATGACATAAAAGCACTAAACCATGTATAAACCTTTATACATCTAAACGTTTTAAATTCTAAAAAGTGTTTTCGTTGTAGAGCAGTCTCTTGCAGCTATGCCGCCGTTAATTTAAACCCAAGTGTAGAAATGTTATCGGTTCTGAGTAAGTAATAAGTCCTGGTATGAGGTCTGCTTTTAAATCCACTTAATTAAGTCTTTAATAGTTTCCTATTGCAGTGATAAGAAATGTTCAATTAGTTACCGGATTTTTCTTTAAATAGGATAGCAACAAACCTGTCTTTGCTGCTCCTTTTCGTTTTGCTTTCTATTTTTTTTTGGTTTATTTTCTCTTGCTTGTGAATTATACTAAATTCTCTCTTGTAGATAAATATTTGTAATATTAATTTAACAATTTACTAATTTTTACTCAAGTGTAACCGTTTATCGAAATAGGAAGGATCATTTTCGTTTTCCATTTCGAAGGATCATATCCACACTTCAAAGAATCCATTTCACTAATCCGAAAAGGTAGTAGCAAAATAAGCATTCTAAATTTTCTCGAAAATAAAGACATAATTTAAAATTCTGTTACAATACGGAAATAGATTGCAGTTGTGTGATTACAGTGATATACACTGAAAAAAATATTGTTCATAATATTAATAAACAGTGATTATTAACTTTGTTTCATTGGGACAATAAATTTTTTCATTAATACAATGATTTGTTAATCATAGATCGATGTCCGATTTATTAATACTATGAATCTAATTTTATCAATATAATGAAAATCTGGTTATTGAATTAATGTAAGATTTTCATTAATATAATGAACGCGTTCATTGTCCCAATGAATGCGTTCATTGTCCCAATGAATGCGTTGTACATTGTGACAATGAAAAATTTTATTAATACAACGAACACACTACATTATATTAATGTACGCGGTTATTAATATCATGAATAAAATATTAGGGCTTAAATGTCCGCCATGTTGATCGGTTACTTTGGCACTTTAATAACGTCTCGTCTGTGTGATTGTGTTGCTCAGTGAGGCTTTAGTTTTATTAGAGCGGTAAGTGTTCCCTTCATTATTTAAAATATTTTAAATAAAATTCCTATCTTATTGTAGTTAATCTATTGTGTCAAATCAAATTACTCTACAAGATTCTCTGGTGCGAGTATTTATTTTAAGATTAGATTAAATTTGGTACGTACCATAAATCACGTAAAGAATGTTATGCTTTGTGTGCAAAACCAACCACAGTAATTTAGAAAAACTTGTTAGGCATTTTAAATGTTGCCATAACCTAAACAGTAACTCGACATTTAGATGCTATGAGTGCGGTCAGTGCTTTCAAAATTTATCATCCTTCAAAAGGCATATGAATCGCAAACATCTCGTAGATGAAGTTCTTGTTAATTGTACAGATAAAGGCAACGATGATTTTACTATAAACATGGACATTCCAGTGACATCGGATAACAGTCTTCTATCAGATAGTAATTGTCCTAGGTCAGTTTTTGTTGATAACAAAACACCAGGAGACAAAATTGATGAGGAAATTCAAAACGAGCCTGAGCAATTTAATTTTGATTCTTTACATAAAAAAGTTGAAAACGCTGCGTTACAATTTTTACTTTCGCTGCACAATAACGATAATTTTACAAGAAAGGATGTTCTACAAATTCAAAACATTGCGAATGGATATTTACTCGAACCACTATTAGATATGTTTATGAATTTTGCTAAATGCAACATTCAATACCAAAATCCGGCCTTATACAACGAAATGTCTAGTCTAATATCGAACTGTAGAAATCCATTTAAAGCTTTCAGCTCGGATTATTTGTTTCATAAAATATTAACAAATAAAGGATGCGTTAATACTCTCAAGGAAATTACTATCAATAATGAGGTACGACCAGTGCATCGAGCGGGGAATCTGATAACTCAAGAAACAAAAATTAAAGGCATCGTAATGCCTTTAAAATTTCAATTCAAAGCATTTTTCGAAAAAAATAAACTACTAGAACCTACTTTGGCTTATATGAAAGATCTGGAAGTAAATAATACGTTTACAAATTTCATGCAAGGTGAATTATGGAAAAATAAAATCAAATTATACCCAGGAAAAATTACGATTCCTTTTTTCTTATATATAGACGATTTTGAGATAAATAATCCCCTTGGTTCACACTCATCAAAACATTCCGTATGTAACATATATTATTCATTTCCCTGCCTACCAGTACAAGAATCTAAATTGGAAAATATTTTTTATGCAGGTGTGATAAAGTCTAATGATCTAAAAACTTTCGGCAATGAAAATTGTTTTGAATATTTAATAGAAGTACTAAAAGATCTTGAAATTAATGGTATACTGATTGAAAGCCATGACAATAAAAGTGCTAATGTCCATTTTATATTAGGATTAGTAATCGGTGATAATTTAGGTTTAAATTCGTTTCTCGATTTTAGCAAATCATTTTCCAGCAACTATTTTTGCAGATTATGTCGAGCCTCAAAAGCAGATACCCAGAAAATGAGTTACGAAAATACCGAACTAAATCGAACTGTTGAAAACTATGAGCTCGATGCTTCCAATACAAATAGTATGATGGGAATTAGTAAAATATCTCTGCTTAATAATATTCCTTCATTTCATGTCGTAACAAACTACTATGCTGATGTTATGCATGATCTGTTTGAAGGGATATGTCATTATGATTTATGTCACATCATTGAATATTTCATAACTATGAAATATTTTGACTTGGATGGTTTAAATGACCGAAAACAAAATTTTGAGTACGGCCCAATAGATATTAACACAATCTGTGGAAAAATAGAGCCACACCATCTTAAGAAAAGAAAACTGAAAATGTCAGCTAGAGAAATGATGACATTTATTTTATACTTTCCCATTATGATTGGAGACTTAGTTCCCTCGGATGATACCGTTTGGCGATTTCTTGTAAATTTTGTTGAAATCATAGATATACTACTCTGTTTCGAGATTGATGTACCTAACATTTTATTATTAGAAAATAAGATTAAAGATCACAACAGAGACTATACTGCACTTTTTAACGATACACTGAAGCCAAAACATCATCTATTAACCCACTATCCAAAAATAATAAGACAATCAGGACCATTAAGAAAACTATGGTGTTTCAAATTTGAATCCAAGCATAGGCAATTCAAAATCTATTCACACTGTATTACATCAAGAAAGAATATTTGTCTTACACTAGCTAAGAAATATGAGTTAAAATTTGCCTTCCAAATCATGAACACTAAAAACTTTTTCTCATTAAAGGGATTGATTTGTGACGAAAATTTTAGAGTACAAAGTAATTACCAAAATATTATTAGACACAAATTAAATTTTTTTGAGGGGTTTATTGAATTTTATTCTCGTATTTATTACCAAGGCATTGAATACAGGTGTCATTACTATCTACCAGTGTATAACAATGATATTTTATTGTATGTAATATTAGACATAGTCATACTAGAGAAAAAACCACCAATTTTTTTCTGCCAAAAATTACTAAATGTAAGGTACGATCCTCATCTACTTGCTTACGAAATTGATCCTACCAATTTAGGTGAATTTTCATTGATATTCACTGAAAAAATACTTGGTCCACCTATTACTCTTATAAAAACTGCGCGGGGAAAAAATATGTTACGTATTAAGGAGTATTACAAAAATATCTAATGACATAAAAATAAGTTATAGTTTTCAATATTTATGTATACAGGGTGTCCCAGAAATAAGTGCAAGTATTTTAACTGGTAGTACCAGTAAGGCAGTATGGTACTACCAGTATGGTACCAGTATGGTAGTATAGTTCAACCCCAGAAACACGCCTATGAGGTTTTTTTTGCAAGTTTTTTGAAAAAAATTTTGGATTTTTTTTTGGTTTTTTAGTTAAAAAACATAATTTCTTGATAATATGGCAACATAAGTATTAGATTAAATTTACAAGAAAGAAAATCCAGAAAAGATCCAGCGGTTCTCAAATTTTTTTTTTTTTTGGAAATTTTCAAAGTAAAATAACCCCGTTATTTTGGACTTATTTGAAAAACGATGGAGAGAAAATATGTTTCTTTTATCGAGATCTACCACCCTTTAAAATACTTGCACTTATTTCTGGGACACCCTGTATATTAAGGGTAAGGGGTTCCAAAAAACATGTCAACGAAATGTGCGCGAATCTCCACCACCAATCAGGTTGGTAGAATTCGGGATGCCATGATGAATTTTTGCAGCGTTGCCAGCCTGCTCGAAACGTATGATATCTATAGAAAATATTAACTTTTTGTAATAGCCAAAATCAAAGAAATCAAAGTTAAATTAATAAATATTAGTTGTACAAGAACTGCGTTAAATTCTTAGCATATAAATTGCATTATACACGCTGAAATTAACTAAAAACATATTAAATTTATAGGTACAGTATCGAGCAATTTTGCTTTTGTATAGTTAAACTTGACAATATCGATTTTTTTAGTTCAGAATTTCGTTTGATGCTTAATACGCGAGCGAGACTCTGTTAAAGTGCTGTTAGCGCGTAACCACCGGAACGCTGAACATTAGTAATAATTTTAGCAAATTTTATTGTTATTGTTTAATATTGTTGAATTTTGTAGCAGGATATTGAGATATGTGGGTATGTATGTTGCTTTAGTAATAACAAAAAAAAATTATCTGTTTTCCATATGATGCATAAAGTTTCATTAAGTATTATTTAACTAAATTTAAACAAAATATCGCACAACTTCATATATATTTTCTGTGGAACGGATATTTATAAGGTTGCTTCAATATATTTTTTGATCTTTTGGATACCTACTAAACAAAAAAAAAATATATATAATGCAAAGCATAATATTCTAAAACCTTGTGTTTATGCGTGTGCTACTTACTAAAATTTATTTTCATTTTAAAATGTTTACTTTGCAATCGTGTTAAGGCCATGGATAAATTGGAGACTATAGCAGAAGAATCTGAAGGAGTTCCAGGCCTCTACAATGTCTGCTTTGATGGCAATTTTAGTGTGCCGATTACTTCTTCGGTACTAGATACACAAGAAATTGGCAGTAACTTCAATTTATCAAATCCACAAGATGTGATAATTGCCGATATTTCGTATAGCACGCCAACTTTGTTAAATACCTCTTTTGAAAATGCCACTCACACTCTAACATCTAAAGAATCAGAAGAAATAAACTTAAGGTCACTGCTTACCAAATGGAATCTTGCGTCATTAACAGACCACTTTATTTGTAAGTTCTTTTTTTGCATTGTTTCAACGACTGTTATAATAATTAAATCTATATTTATTTTTTGTAGCTCAAAACGTTTTTGTTGGCATTTTGAAAATTATGAAGCGTCACCACATTGAGCGTTTGTTGAGAAATTTTGATATGGGAACTCAAATACTATTTGAGCATAATTTAGAGCAGTGGCGAGAATCGTTGGGACTACCACTTGGTTATTCCTCATCAGAAGTTTATTCCAGCCGAAATCTCTATAGTTCTCCATCATCCCCATCAGTTTCCTCTTCTGGAAGGCTTACACCAACACGTTACTCCACGCCATATGCAAGACCTACAAGTCCGGAAAACAATACCTCCAGTAGCATTCAATTGGCCACTATTTTAAATCAATCTTCACGAGGCTCAATACTTATAGAATATTATAATAAATTTTCGAAGTTCCAAGATGACCAGAGATCTTTACTGGTTACACTTATTGCACAATATTTTCAAGAAAAAGGGGTGAAAATGACGTTGGCTGCCAGTCATAAGATAGAAAGAGAAATAATTGAAAGATTTCCCGCAGAAAAACTGGTTAGATAATTTTAAATACTATTATAATACTACAATAAACTTATATATTTGGACATATTCTGAATAAGACAAATATGTTACTGAATTAAAACTTTTTGCAGGAATATTATCGAACCAGTAACCGAGGAAAAATCTATAATAAATTTTGTAACATAACATCATCATTTAAAACAGCGGTTTCCAAACACGTTTCTGAAAAAAAACATAAAGAAGAAAAAAAGAGTTCGAGGCATGAAACTGAGTTTGGTAAATTCCAAAGTTTTTTAATATTTGACATTTTAATTATTTTGATATACATCGCTTTTAGAACCAGAACAAGATGCTGAGACCTGCCTCCAAGCCCTCAAATTTGATAATTTGACATCCGAGCAATTTGATGCAACTTGGAAGGCCTGTTGCCAGTTTCGTCTAGACTTTATCAAGGCTAATAATACTGCCACTATAATGAAAAAATGGCCGTTTTATAGAAATCCCTCAGGATATCGACTGGTAAATTAATTTTCCTATTATATTTTGCCTTAAAATGAATAATAACAGTACTATTTTCATGAGGCGATTTGATTTTGTCTTTTTGACTTCCTGTATATGCTATGTCAAGTTCGAATAAATTAATATTATTTTATTGGGCAGTAGAACTCTTTATAAAGAATACCTTAATCCTTTTTGTAGATCGACATGGATTTCAAAACAGCATTTGAAAACAGAGACGGATTGCTGAGGGAATGGGACCAGGTGTTTGGTAAAATTCTTTCCTTTTTGACTATCGACAGTCATATTAAAGACAAACATATTAGACAGCTGCTGGAAAAGTTGAAGAGTGACGATGACTCGATAACTGAAAGTAAGCATTGAGCTGGGAAAACTTTGATAATTTCAAGAAGAAAAGTTCAATGAACAAATGTTTTAAACCTCTTAATATTTTGAGCTATATAAGATATTAAATCATCACTTCAAATATTTTTAACAAAAATTTGATAGAAATTTAATTTTTTTATATAGAAGATTTCTTTATTTTTTACACTAATTCACCACACAATATATATCCCGGTTGTTGCCTCGTCGTTGAGAACATAGGAAATCCCATGCAAAATTTGAACTGTCCAGATATTGGCTCCCCTATGGATTTTATAGCGAAGTCGTAAATAGACTTTTTAAAGGTGTACATTTGGTAAACACACATGCCAAATTTGAACAATTTTGGACAAGCCGATTTTAGGTAATTTGAGAAAAACTTAATCGATTTTTAAATTAAAACTGAATAGGTAACAATCAAACACCAGTCAAAAACCGACATTCCTTATATAAGTTGTCAGCGTCATTTTCAAACAAAAAATTTTAATATTCAGTACTAGTAATAATTTATTGTTATACACATAAAGAAAAAGTGAACATGATAAAATACGCGGGAAATAGATTAGACAGTGTATCTGACATGTTTCGGTTAATTTTCCCTAAATATTGAAATTTTATTAAAATTAAATTACTTTTGACAATGACAAAATCATAGTTTGTCAACCTAAGGTATGTCAGTTTTTGACTGGTGTTTGATTGTTGCCTATTATTAATTATATTATATTATTTATATTAAATATATACTATATTTAATATAAAAATCGATTAAGTTTTTCTCAAATTACCTAAAATCGGCTTGTCCAAAATTGTTCAAATTTGGCATGTGTGTTTACCAAATGTAGACCTTTAAAAAGTCTATTTACGACTTCGCTATAAAATCTACAGGGGAGCCAATATCTGGACAGTTCAAATTTTGCATGGGATTTCCTATGTTCCCAACGACGATGCAACACCCGGAATAATAATACACCAAAACAATTTATTTTTGCACCTTTTTGTGAACTAGTGTTTTATTTTGCTGGTGATTTTTTCTTAAAATTTTAACACCCTGTAGCACAAAAAAGAGATTTTGGATATTTATTCATTGAACTTTTTATCTAAACCTACCTAAGAATTACATGCTGCTTATCACAAAGGTTAGAAAACTCCCTGAATAAAAAAATTAGAACTGTACGAGCATTGCTTCATTCTGGATTAGTGTTTTCTGGTGTGAAATGGTGCAATACATGCACCAGTTTTATAGAACTAGATGGTCTATAGAGAAACTTGATGTGAAGACAGAACTAGAATCAAGTAATGGTTTTTAGTACTATTTAAGTGTCTTCTGTTGGCTAGGTCATGAGCTATTTCAGATTAAAATCTTACGATTATTACATTTAATTTGCCGAACAAAAAAAATTAGATGTGAACATTTTCTTTTACAGATGGTCGCAATGCAGCTTTATTTTGGGCGTTACATGGCTACCTTGTGCCTACCAACAAGGTAGTAAAAAGAGATATGATGACAGGCAAAAAATGCACCACAAAATTTACTATTAAAGACGCCCAGGAATCCGTTCTCTTTCTCGCTAAGAATCAGCAGGAAATTGAGGAGAGAATTAGTTATTTAAGTAAAACAAGCATTGCAGTACAACCTGCTATATACTGCATTGGGAAAGATATATTTAACATCGAAGCAATATCCATAATATTCGATGGCATAAGATTCAATTTTACCAATATTTTAAGAGCATTAGATATTTGCTTCAAAACTATTTACCTATTCGATCTTCAATTTCCTGCTGAGTCTCAATTATTTTACACATTTATTGAAATATTTTTTTTTAAATTAAAATCAGCCAATACTAATGCTAAAATTCATATTTTGTCCGAATACATAACAGAGCAGTGCAAACAATAAAAAATGTTCATATCAAAAACTGCTTTTATTAGATTGACCTTTTCCAAAACATTATCGATATTTCTCAAATACCTAGTGGGAATCTACCTTTAAGGAAGGGGAATCTACCTTTAAGGAGCTATGATATTATGAGAGTAAAAAAACAATTAATCTTGTAAAAAATAAAACACAGATCGTGGAATTTGTAGCAAAAGTTTCTTATTTTTTATTACCCTAATCGAAACATTTATTGTGCTCGTAAGTAAGTCGGCACTATTGGTAATTTGGTTAACTTTGTAGCTAGGGGTTTGTTCACATGCAAATCTA